ATTTTTTTAAATATATTTTATTGATTTTTTTACAGAGAGGAGGGGAGAGGGATAGAGAGTTAGAAACATCAATGAGAGAGGCATCGATCAGCTGCTTCCTGCACACTCCCCACTGGGGATGTGCCCGAAACCAAGGTACATGCCCTTGATCGGAATCGAACCTGGGACCCTTGTGTCCTCAGGCCGATGCTCTGTCCACTGAGCCAAACCGGTTAGGGCCATCCATCCATCCTTATCTACTCCAGACCAGGCAGGACTGAGGCAGACTCACCTCTATTCTGGGATGATCTGTCTGCACCTTCAATTCTGTCACTCCCTTATAGGTTGGCTCATCCCTCCAACAAGCCCTGAGGCTCCTGGGACGCATTCTGATCCATTCCATGGTGGTGGCCCAGCTCCACCCCATCTCCCCATCTCCTTCTGGGTAGAGGAAGGTCCCAGCAGCCCCCAGGGAGATGCCATGAATGCCAGTGCCCCCTTTTGTTCCTGATAACACTCATCTAGAGCAAAGGTTGAGGGGTCCCTTAGCCTCAGCCTTCTCACCAACAAAATGGGGATCATCCCATCCCCCACAGAAACCCTAGTCCTTCTAACACAACCTCACTTCCCATCCTTCATCAGGCTGCGGGGGGCAGGCAGCAGAGCCCCCATTTGACTTCAAGCTTGTAGTTCCTTATTCCCTGTTGAGGACTGAACGCCTTCATACGCACGATCACATTTAATTCTCACAGGTCCCCGAGAGGTGGGTAATATTATCATTTTCCTCCTCCTGCCCACATTCCCATCACGGAGCATCTTCCGTAGGCCAGGCCAGTCTTTACCAAACGTATGATCAGTCCCCTGGATCCATGTTCCCCTTGCCCGGAGGACGCCTTTTATTTCATTGTAAATGACCCTTTCAGCTGAAATAAATATATTTTTCAAAGAACCTTCGCCTCACTTTGGCAGATGGGAAGCTGGTATCACTTGCTGAAAGTCAATGTATCTATCCATAAAAAATTAACACAGCAAGCACAGAGCAGAGCATTGTACTGTCACCTGCTCAAGGCTCCACGCTGGTGGCCGGTTCTTCCTTTGTTACAAGAAGAGATTCTGCTAAAGGCACATGGACACCCAGCAGAGACTTTCTCCTAGCTGTTATCAGGTTTCCAAGAACGTGTCTTGTTCTGTGTTCTATGCCTAGCCCTTAAATCAGATGTGAATCCTATATCTGGAGGAATTTTTGCTCACTTCATCACACACATTGTCTCATGTAACCCCTCACCAACTCCAGGAAAACAGGTGTATTCGATGAGAAAACGAAGGCTCAAAGAGGTGGATCCCCTTACCTATGGTCACAGCCAGTACGTGGCAGAGACCGGAATCAAACCACCGGCCTTGGGGCTGCCTAGCAAGCGGGGGAAGGGCTCTGCTAACAATGCCTCTCCTTGCTGCCTCCCTGCCTCTCTCCCACCCAGCTGGGTCGCCTTTGAGCATCCGACTTCCAAGGGGAGATGTTCGTCCTGAGAAGGGCCAGTACCCGCCCTGGGACACCCGGTCCAGCAGCTACCGCAGCGGCCGGCTCATGTCCTTCCGACCCATCAGGATGGTGAGTGGCTCCTGGGTGGGGCTGGAGGGATCCGTGGGGAGGGCCGGGGCGAGTTCGAGACCTGATAGCGTGCAAGGAAATGGGGGTGAGCAAGGAAAACACGGAGGGAATGGCGGGCAGGGAAGCGTGGCGACCTCGGAGTTGTCCAAGCACAGTGGCTCTTGTTCTCACCGATTCATAAGGTGTCTCTGATGTGTCCAGCTCCCGGTGGGAGCCCTGGGCACACGCGAAACATCAAACCCATCTATTTCCTTCCCTGCTGCTATCAAGCATGGTTTTTTATCCCCTGCTCCATGGCCTGCCCTGACTCTCTGGGCTTCTCTGGGCCTTAATGACTCCCCATATGAATCAGGAAGAATTGTCCCTCGGACATAGTGGCTGCACCAGCGCCAACCCATGTGGACTGGCGTCAGGGCACACGACCTTCGCTCGCTGCTTGTCTTCCCAGCCCGAAAGCCAGCCCCCAGGGGGTAGGGTCAGCCTGTATGCCCAGCATCCCGGGGCTCTTGGCAGTACAAAGAGCAGAGATGAGCTTTGAGCTCAGACAGGCCTGGGTTCGAGTCCCAGCTCCCCCAGACCTTGTTCAAGCTCCAAGCCTCAGTGTTCTCATCTCTGAAATGGGGAGATTAACAGTCCCCACTACTCTCCACTGTGCTATTCTGAGCCCTGAAGGAGATGATGCGGCTTGGGTCTGGCACCTGGTGGGCGCCCAAACATAGCAGGGGACAGTGGTGATGATTATTTAGCCTTCCTCATCGTCCTGCGAGTTTAGCTGAGTCACCCCGGTGGACGGTAGGGGCTTTCTATGCCCTGCAACCACCCCCACCAGCAGTGTGGTCAACACAGCCTCAGCCCCACCCCCATCCCAAAGCCCAAAGCTGGGAGCAGAAGCTGCCGGATGTGGCCAGCTGGGGGTTTTAGGCTTTTTTCAGTGCCAGTGACTCAAACCCAAAGTATTTCTCCTCAAACAAAGATGCAGCGGGAATTCCGGTCTTCGGTGTGTGTCCTGGGGCTGTGCCTGGTTGGGAGGCATAAGAACCTGTGGCCCAGGGCCCTTGGTCTGCGTCAGGACCAGCAGGATGTGGGGAAATGATGGTGGGAAAAGGATGGAGAGGACGAGGTTGGCAGGGGAAGGGGGGGGTGTGTGGCCCAGCACAGGGACATGCCTGCCTGAAACCCAGGTGACTTCAAGCTGCCACCTCACACCATCGCGTGACCTTGTGGTCACGGGCACATAGCTGGGTTGGAGGCTTGATCAATGACTTCAAGCTGCCACCTCACACCATCGCGTGACCTTAAACAGGGGACGTGACCCCTCTGAGCCTCCGTTTCCACATCTGTAGATGAGAGATTCCTGCCCTACCTCTCTCCCTGCCCCTAAGGCTCCGATGAGCCACAGGAGATGAGACAAGCACTGAGATACACATTTAAAACGCCTCACTCCTGTAACAGGTCCCCCCTGGGCCTTCGGAAGACGAGAGGGGGTTTGGAGGGGGAGGGGCAGCGTGGCCAGGCCACATCAGTGTCTGTCTTTCCCTCCGCTCAGACCCCCAGCAGCCCCCCCTTCAATTATAACATCTATTATTTACTATGTGTCCTGGGCGTTCCTTTTTTAGACCCTCATAACATCCTGACAAGGCAGATGCAGTCATTTCCTCTCTTACTGAGGCTTCACCAGCAGAAAAGAAAGGAGGAGCTGGGATTAGAGCTCAGGCCTCTCTGTTTCCAGAGTTTATACTCTTAATTCCTACATGGCCCCACCTTCCAAGGACCCCTCTTCCACCCACCCACCGTCCATCTATCTCTATCCATTTATCCTCCATCTATTTATTCATCCATCTGCTTACCCCTCCTTCCATCCATCCATTCTCCACCATTCAGCCATTCAGCCATTCAGCCATTCAGCCATCCATCAATACCCTCATCCATAGATCCAGCCATCTACCCATCTATTCATCCACCACCTACCCACTTATCCATCCACTTATTTACCATCAATTTCAAAGAACTTCCAGGGCCACCGGGTGGAATTCTCCGGGGAGTGCTTGAACCTGGGAGACCGCGGCTTCGACCGAGTGCGCAGCCTCATCGTCACCTCTGGACCGTGAGTGGCAGGCAGGGGCGGGACACTCTTGTAGCTGCCATGTCTTGAGCACCTGCTCTGCGCCTGCCAGCAGGCTAGCAAGACACATCCACTATTCCTAGTCCTCATTGCCAACCCATTTTACAGATGAGGAAACGGAGGCTCAGAGAGGTGATAGGATTATCATAACGTCACACCAACAGCCAGTCATGATTCTGGGCTCCAGAGAAAGGCTGCTTCTACTAGAGAGGGAGCCTGCCCACCGCTGAGGGCAGGAGACCAAAGAGCCAGTGTCTACCAGCTGTCTCCCCTCCTGGCATCAAGCAGTTATAGAATAATTGTACCTGCTGGGCACCCACTAGGTGCCAGGCACAGACTGAGGGCTTCACCTAGGTGATCCTACAATGCTACATGAGGGAGAGACTATTCTTGTGCCCATTTGACAGATGGGCACACTGAGGCTCAGAAGGAGTAAGTCCCTCGGCCAAAGTTACCTACTGGCAAATGGCAGAGCTTGGGGTCGACTCCAGTTGATCAATTTCACCCACATGTTTTTTATCCCCTGCTCCATGGCCTGCCCTGACTCTCTGGGCTTCTCTGGGCCTTAATGACTCCCCATATGAATCAGGAAGAATTGTCCCTCGGACATAGTGGCTGCACCAGCGCCAACCCATGTGGACTGGCGTCAGGGCACACGACCTTCGCTCGCTGCTTGTCTTCCCAGCCCGAAAGCCAGCCCCCAGGGGGTAGGGTCAGCCTGTATGCCCAGCATCCCGGGGCTCTTGGCAGTACAAAGAGCAGAGATGAGCTTTGAGCTCAGACAGGCCTGGGTTCGAGTCCCAGCTCCCCCAGACCTTGTTCAAGCTCCAAGCCTCAGTGTTCTCATCTCTGAAATGGGGAGATTAACAGTCCCCACTACTCTCCACTGCGCTATTCTGAGCCCTGAAGGAGATGATGCGGCTTGGGTCTGGCACCTGGTGGGCGCCCAAACATAGCAGGGGACAGTGGTGATGATTATTTAGCCTTCCTCATCGTCCTGCGAGTTTAGCTGAGTCACCCCGGTGGACGGTAGGGGCTTTCTATGCCCTGCAACCACCCCCACCAGCAGTGTGGTCAACACAGCCTCAGCCCCACCCCCATCCCAAAGCCCAAAGCTGGGAGCAGAAGCTGCCGGATGTGGCCAGCTGGGGGTTTTAGGCTTTTTTCAGTGCCAGTGACTCAAACCCAAAGTATTTCTCCTCAAACAAAGATGCAGCGGGAATTCCGGTCTTCGGTGTGTGTCCTGGGGCTGTGCCTGGTTGGGAGGCATAAGAACCTGTGGCCCAGGGCCCTTGGTCTGCGTCAGGACCAGCAGGATGTGGGGAAATGATGGTGGGAAAAGGATGGAGAGGACGAGGTTGGCAGGGGAAGGGGGGGGTGTGTGGCCCAGCACAGGGACATGCCTGCCTGAAACCCAGGTGACTTCAAGCTGCCACCTCACACCATCGCGTGACCTTGTGGTCACGGGCACATAGCTGGGTTGGAGGCTTGATCAACAGTAGGGGGCGTGCAGGAGGCAGCTGATCAAGGATTCCCTCTCATCACTGATGTTTCTATTTCGCTCCCTCTCCCTTCCTCTCTAAAATCAATACAAATATATTAAAAAAAAAAAAGAATGGACTCCACATCCCAGTGGTTGGAGCTAGAAACCCCAGCGCCTTCCCGGATTCTATCTGCAGAATGTTTCTAATTCCTGGCTGCACAGCAGACCCTCCCGGGGAGCTTTGAAAATCCCAGTGTGGTTGGTGCTCGCTTCGGCAGCACATACGCTAAAACTGGAACGACACAGAGACGATTAGCACGGCCCCTGCGAAGGGAAAGACAGAAAAGACAATCCCAGTTTCCATTCAAAGCATCTAACATGCTGGTTGGAACCTGCGCATGTCTGAGAAGAGGGGTGTCGTGGAAAGACCCCCGGAGCTTCCCAATGATAAGACAACCTGCCGAGTCAGCCCCTTTGTACAATAGACCAAGGAGTATGCCTTCCAGAAGACTCAAAGCCAAGACAGGTGGAGTTATCCCTCAGCAATTCCGTTTCCCCAAAGCGTGTTCACTGGGACTCATGAACCAACCCCATCTTCACTCGCCAGGGCCAGATTCCCATGGTAACCAACCTTGGCCTTCCTGGATGGGAATTTTCCGGAAGAATTTTCGTGCGTGTCCACTTGAGGCTACCAGGTACCAACTGTCGGCGGTTTGGGCACCACCAGATGTATCTTCATAGGATGATCCAACCAGGCCATTCCCAATGTTTTTCTCAGAATTTGAGGCTGAGCGATCAGCCTTTATAATGGGCCCTTTGAAAGAATTCATAGATTTATCTTTCTATCATTGCAGGGTCTTTGAATGGTAACCCATGTCCATGGAGCTTGTTGGAAGAGCCATCAGCCTGGGCATTTCCGGTAGCTTCTCCAGCTTTGCTATTCAATACAGTAGCCACATGTGGCTGTGGAACTTGAATTTGGGCTAGTCCGTTTGGACATGTGCTGTGAGTGTAGCAACATTACACACCGGATTTTGAATACATCGTTAAAAAAAAAAAGCGCAAAATAAGAATGTAAACTATCTCACTCACATCCTTATCTTGGTTACAAATTGAGATGATAATCTTGCGGGTGTATTTCCTTAAATCACATATATTATTGGAAAAAAATCCCAATGCCTGGACCCCTCCCCAGACCAATGAAATATGAGCCTCTGGAGCTGGGTGCAGACTGTGTGATTCACATCCCCAGGTAGACTGTGCAGCCAGGGCTCAGAGCCTCCGGTCTAGTTTCATCTGTCCCCTATCTCTGCCTCCATCTCTCTGTGGGCCACCTTTATTTCACCCCTGGACAGCTCCAGCTCCCTCCCCGCTGGGTTCCCCGACTCCTTTTCAGCCTCCTCCCCTGGGCAGTTAGAAGGGTTTCTAACCCAACCATCTTCCAATTAAGACTCATGCTTTGAACACTATCGGTTGATCTGTTTCTGCTAGGCTCTGTGGTAAGCTCTGGGTGCAACTCTGCACGGGATAGGCAAGGCCCCTGACCTTGTAGGAGGCAGTTATTGAAACCTAATCATGGAAATCAATCTGTTCTGGCAAACCACGATGGTCCCTGCTGCACAGGGAGTGTGCAGTGCGCTAGGAGAGCGGAAGCCAGGAACTGGGGCTCTGATGTTGGGGGGAAGGAGTGGTCGGGGTGATCAGGAAAGACAGCTCCCAGAGGATGGGAACTGAGGCAGCCATGTGAAGGTGGTGGAGCAGCCTTCCAGGGTACAGTGAGTGCAAAGACCCTGAAGCGAGGAAGACGGGGTGTCAACAAGGAACTAAAAATTGGCCAGCCCTAGCTGGTTTGGCTCAGTGGATAGAGCATCAGCCTGGGGACTGAAGGGTCCCGGGTTCGATTCTGGTCAAGGGCACATGCCCAGGTTGCGGGCTCAATCCCCAGTAGGGGGCGTGCAGAGGCAGCCGATCCATGATTCTCTCTCATCATTGATGTTTTTCTCTCCCTCTCCCTCTCCCTTCCTCTCTGAAATCAACAATACTAACTCAGAGGTGGTCCAGACGGGAGGTCAGAGGAGGAAGGACGGCTTCTGGGGGCGTGTGCTGGAGGGGAGGAGAGGTCAGAGGCTTATCTGAGGAGGCTAGAACTTAAACCAGACTTTGCAAGGTGACCCTCCCCTCTCTCTAGAGTGCAAGGACGCTAGAGGAGACTGCAAGGGCACATGGAGACCTGGCTGGTCCAGGCAGGGGGCTGGGTGCTGGCAGTGAGGCTGCCATCTCTACACTGTCCTTCTTGCTTCCCTCCCAGCTGAGTAGGGTATCAGTACCCCGGCTACCGCGGGGACCAGTACCTCCTGGAGCCTGGTGACTTCCGGCACTGGAATGAATGGGGAGCCCTCCAGCCTCAGATGCAGGCCCTGCGCCGCCTTCGGGACAGGCAGTGGCATCGTGAGGGCTGCTTCCCTGTCCTGGCGGCAGAACCCCCCAAGTGAGTCCACACTCCATTTTTTCTTCCTCCTCTCACCCGTTCCTCAGGCTCCATCTCTCCATCTTTCTCATGCAAATTAAAGTTCCTAAAGCCAAAATGTCTGCTGGGTCTGTGAACAGGTGTCTGTCTCGAGGTCCCCCATCACTGCTGGCTTGTGACTTTCTCGGTCTTCATCATAGAAACAGCAAGCACTGCAAAGCTCTCCACTCACGTTCTCTTGGCATAACTTTTGAACTACTCTAGGAGGCCAGTATTATAGTTACTCCCGTTTAACAAGTCAGGAAATGGAGGCGCAGAGAGGGAAAGCGACCTGCCCCAGGCCACACAGCTAGCGAGTGGAGAACTGAACCCAGTCTGGCTCCAGAGCTGGGCTCCCAAACAAATCTGTGTTTGCAAACTCTATTCCTTCACACACCAGCCTCATGATTTTTTTTTTTTTGCACTCTATACGTACCACCTGCTTTGTTATTTACTTACTATTTTTGTTTAAATAGACTTACTATTTTGCGCTTAAATGCATTGATTTGTAAATAAGACTTTGCAACGCCACGGGAAGTGGAAAATCAGCATCATATGCCATAGATAGAAAGCAATTTCATAAATAAAGACAACTGAAAGGAGGCCAGGTAGAGAATTCCCAGCAGACACCACGGCCTGCGGGAGGCTGGGAACCTGCCATCTGCTCTTGGACAGGGTGAGTGACAAGTGTCAGAGGTACGAAAGACACGCTGGCACCAAACTGAGATTTTTCTCCCTGGTTTTATCGAAGAAGACCGAAAAGAGCATTATTTTCTTGTATCTGCTTCAGTGTTCTTTAATCCTGGGGTCCAAATTCCACCTACTGCAAATGCTCCAGGCCTCGCTTTTTTGGAAATGGGCACCAGGCAATATTGACTCCCGTATCGTCAGTTATCGTTGATTGATCGCATTAACCTTTAATCCCTGCAGGAAGCCTGGGGAGGTGTTGCCATGGTTATCTTCCTGGAGGAGGGGATGTGTGAAGGAGGCCTTGAAGGATGGAGCAGGAGCTTGCTTAATGGAGAAGGGGGAAGGGGAGGGGAGGACATTCCAGGCAGAGCAAACAGCTGGGTCCCTGCTAATGATTAAAAAGATGCCTTTTCCTCAAAACCGTTGACCGCCACCTGCCCAGAAACGATTGGTATAAATCTGCAATGTCTACAGCGTGCATGGGACGCCCTGTGCTGTCTGTGCCCAGCTTGCACCACTGTGCCTGGCGCCCCTGCAGCACCACGAGCAAAGGCACGGAGGTCGGAGTGCTTGGGGTGGAGCCAGGCGAAGCTTATTGAAACAGGAAGCCGTAGCTGGGTGACTGTGTGTCTGTCCATCGCTGCAAGATGAAGTCCTGACTTCTTCCTACAGCCGGCAAAGTCCTGCAGCACCAACCCTGGCAGACTCCTCTGACCTCCTCTCCTCACTCCCCCCACATCCTGACCACTCTTCAGTTTATGCAAAGCCCCTAGAAGGACCTTTGCACCTGTGGGTCGCTGTGCCTGGCATACTCTTCCATGAACCCACATCTATGTTTCAGGCCTCAGTGTAACGACACAGTATCAACACCCCTGACCCTCCCGTCCTGGACCAGGTTCACACCCCCTGTTCCCAGCTCCCCAATGCTTATTGGGGGGTCAGCTTCCCCCACCTGGACACAGGGCCCGGGTCCTCCTGTGACCTGCTGACTCCCAGTGCCCAGCACAGGATGCCCAGCACAGGGTGCCCAGGAAATGCCTCATTCAAGACCTCTTGATGGCTATTCCTCCACCCACCAAGGGACATTACAAAACACTCAGCAGGGCTCCCGTGCGGTTAGTCATACAAGACCTCTAATTTGTGCACAATAAACACTATACAACATTGTTCTATCGACTGGAGACGGTAACAGCGGGCTCCATGAAGGCAGGGATTCCATTTTATCGGGCCCAGCACCTTCTGCAGGGCAGGCACTGTTTATTGTCCTGTTCCTCGGAGGACATTCAGCTGCGTCCCAGGCCTCTATCCACTGGATGCCAGCATGACAACCCCCCCCCCCCCAATAATGACAACCAAAAATGCCTTCCGACATTGCCGAGTGTCCCCGGGGATGCGGGGCGAAGGGCAAAATCGCCCCCTCCTTAGGAACCACGGGCATATTTGAACACAGATGAATGAATACTCCCTCCCCCTTTTTTCTTTGCTTTATACTAACAGTAGCGTAAATGCACCCTGCGCGGGGTCTAGGCCACTTTTCTTTTTACACCACTTCTTGGCGATCATTACACTCGCTGCTTAGAGACGGAAGGGAACTTCTCTAAAGCGCAGCTGCCTGAGGAGGGAACGTGGTGAGCGCGGGTCCAGGGGGTAAACTAGCGTCAGATCAGGGCTTCCGGGTGTGTGTGTATGTGGGCGGGGCATCAGCTCCCGGGCCACGCCCCCACCGCGTGGTCGGGAAGCAGG